AAAAAAAAAAAAAAAAAAAAAAAAAAAAAAAAAAAAAAAAAAAAAAAAAAAAAAAAAAAAAAAAAAAAAAAGTACAATTCATTGCTTTTAAAAAACGTACACCAGATAAGCAAAGCAACACGGAAAAGGGGTTAGTTTGAAAACTTTTGGAATCTTTTCCAATGTAAATGCTATTTTATAGGCATAATTTATTTCTAATTCTATATTAAAAAAATCAAATATATTAAATATTAAAGGTCACCTACATACATTGTTATAATCAATGAAGATATATATATATATATATATATATATATAGTTAACTTATTATTTTTAAATTTAAATTATTTAAAAAATTATTCAAAATCAACTCAAAATTTGGTGCTAATTTGGTGCTAAATCCCAAATGTTGTAATTTACTCTATGGCCAAAATTACAAATTTCTTACCACAATTTTTACACATTCCTATTCTTTTTCTATCTTTTTATTTTTTATTTTTATTTTTATTTTACAGAGGGGTGAAATGGTCAAAATCCAACTTCAGCCGCGCCGACGCCGAAGGTAGCTGGGCGATGTGGCTCGAGCTTGCGGTCCTTCCAAAAGCAAGCGTCCGGCGCCAGCTTAGAAGATGACCTCATCGGCTCCGACTTGCACCTCGTAAGAACAAACGGCTCGTAACCCTTGGCCCTCACTAGCTTCTTCTGTTCTATCATCGTTGCCGCAGCCGCCGCCGCTGGAAACGAACACGACCACCTCGCCGGTTGGATCACCGCCGTCTGCGTGTTGTCCGCCGGCTTCTTCTCCCGCTTCTTCGGTGGCGGTGGCGGCGGCGGGTTTCGACCGGCTGGCTTCTTCTCCCTCGTTGGAACGCACCTTATGAAGTCCGTGCTGCAGACCCATGTCTCCTTCGACACCTCCATTGATAGCTTTGGCTCGTACATCATTAACAGCAAGCAATCCGGAAGAACAGGTGATTCTGTTTGTGTTTTTCTCTCCGGCTCCGGCGGCGGAGTTTCTCGCTCCTTTGACTGGTCCTCCTCCTCTGGACCCATCAATTCGTCGTCGTTTTGGGTATCGGATCCGATTCCTTCATCCGTAGCTTTCTCTTTAATCGCCGTCGTCGTCTCTGTTACTCCTTCCCAATTCTCATCAAATTCAGTTCCGGTTTCGTCTAAAACTGGTTCTGTCTCTACTGATAATGACGCCGAAGTAGGGTTTTCGCCATTTTTGTCTTCTTCAAATGCTTCTCTCTGCTCTGTTTTGTTGTCTTGTTCGCGCTTAGATTCGTCTTCTTCGGCTGATTCCAGGTTCTCTGCATCTTGAGCAAATTCAGATTCACAGTGGCTCTGAATCGGAATTGGAATTGTTCTTGACATCGCCATTGTTTCTTGCTGATTACCTTGATCGATTCTGTCTTCTACTGTTTCTTCTTGACTCTGATGATTTATCATAGAAATGATTGATTTCTGCTCATCGATTTCGTTTTCTGTGGCCATTTCTGTGGATTCTTCTCCTTTTTCAGCATCGGAAACAGCTTCTTCATTGATTTCTTCCTCGTTTTCAAGCTTCAGATTTAGCTTCACTGTTCTTTCTTCTTCGTCGCCTTCCTTACTTACAGGCACAGATTCGTCTCTTTTCGCTTCATTTTGTGTAGTTTTCTTCTCTTCATGATCTTCGTCTAGTTCTTCCTTGTCATG